TATATATATATATATATAAATATATATATATATATACTTTTCTTGGGATGAGTTTCCCCAAACCAACCTCTGAACATACTTTAAAAAGATATGTAGGCATTTTGTTTATTTTTTTTTTCTCTTCCTTACTTCTTTAGGTTAAAGCATTGTGAGCTAATGAAGACTGATGGCTCGAAGGCCTCTGAGTTTGACTTCTTTCTTTCTCTCACAGTGTAGGATTCTACTATTACTGATACAGTTTTGAGGGGTGTTCCCAACTCCATCGTTTATCGTTGTGCCCCCAACTTTGGAGGAAGAGGGTGGGGATGAGATGATCTTGGTACCAACCAACCCAATTCATGTGAATAATTCATAGAAAGATGTTAGTGATTTCTGGTCAATGGTGGGACTATCTCCTATCCTCCTACCATGTTTCTTTGTGGGAGTTGCTAGCTTGCTATCTAAATTGGCCATCGCTCATTTGGAGTTCGCAAGGATTAAAGAGGCTTTCTCATCTATTGTTGAATGATTGGAATCTGGTGATTCTTCAACATGGGCGAAAGCCATTAGAGATGCGAGACTGGATCACGATTTTGAAGGAAGATGTCGCTAAGCTAAAGGACCATGTTTCTATATTGGAAGAACATGTGGATGCATGTTTGGATTTGGCTCGCAGGATGCATCGAGACATGGGTGAAGTGCCAACAACGACTGAAAAATCTTGATGATGAGTCATTCATTTATGTTGGGGAATTTGTCATGGGCAGATCCTTTAATCTGCTGTCATCACTCCATGGGGGCATGTGAGTTGCTTTTCAAAGCAAGGGTGGCTTCTCATAGTTTTCCCAACTAAAGGCTCTTCAGACTGTCTTGGTGGGATGAGTTTCCCTTTTATTTAAAGATGATAGAAACTATACCAGTGATGTGGATTGTGTGAGCTCATACTAGCTTATCTGATATTTCTTCTATTGGAACTTTCCCCTGTTGCTGGGTCATTACTCTTGGAGCCACAAATCCTTAAGCTTCCCGACCTTGATCGACTCTTCAATAAGGCCTTGGAGGTGTTGAAACTTCTCTATGTAATGATAATGGTCCTAATGGTAGGCGTGGTACCTCTTGGGGCACCATATGTAAGCTATGTTTTTCCTGAGGGGTGTGCTCTTGAAATAATCTTTTTTTTTTGAATGGCATTTATTATCTCAACCATCGAACCACTAAAGGGAGTTGTTTCAGATACTTCTAAGTTAGACAACGGGTGCCCATTATACCAAGTCTAGAGTTAGTCAGGATACCAAGCATTAATCCCTCGATGGTATGTTATATCAGTCATCCTGTGGTCTTAGGGTGGCTCAAAGTCTTCATAGCGAGAGCAGGTTGAAAGATGTGAACGATGCCTCGATCTCCACCATTCACATTGAGGGGGTTGTTCTACTGGCGACAAGTAGAGGATTCTTCTCTGAAGAAAACAAGATTGGAGTTATACTTCCTAATCGATAAGATAATGTTGTTCACATCTAAAAACTTGGACAGCTTTTTTGGTTACTACAAACCTAATGCGCACCAAAAGTATCCTTCCTTCAACACTTGAGCTAAGGAAGCATGAGCTACTACGGGCTCCATGTCCTATACTTCCAACTTGCCCTTGTTGATGTGTTTGATGAATGAACGAAAGCTCTCATTCCATCTCTATAAGAACTGCATAAGGGCCTAAGATTTTTTTAATATTTTTTTTACTGGAAAACTATGCCACAAACATTCACTTGAAATAAGCAAACAACATGATCACTCACGATGATAATGCATTGAAACACCTGAGGGCCAACTCTCTAAGCGTGGTAAAGCAAAGATTGCAAATTAACATGTCAGTTATCCTCAGTAAACACATAATTGACTCAAATGAGGTGATGTGGTCGATCGGATCGGTTTTGCCCTTGTATGACTCCAATGCTTGGATTTTAAACCTCTCGGGTGGCTCAGTGATACACCTAAAATATATAGTATTTTTAGACACATTTTTATACCTATTTTTGAGATATTGCACTTTAATGGAAGGTATTTTTTGTATTTTTCTTGCAGATACAAGTAAAAATGAAAAAAAATCTACAATACATTTCTGAATTAGATAGAAACTCATATTTTTATCTTTCTTAACTTTAAGAATTTCTAAACTTTAAGTTGGTCTCATTTACTGAATATTTTTTTTTAAACTAGACTGCTATATTTCTAAATCAAAATTTTAATAACCTCTAAAGAAACTCATATACATATCATACATATGTAGTTTTTAGAGATTGAAGTGTCACTTGATGACAAGTAACATTTTAAGTTTGGGGGATTTTGATAAACCTAAATTATATAGTGTTTTTAGACACATTTTTATACATATTTTTGAGATATTGCGCTTTAATGGAATGTATTTTCGTATTTTTCTTGTAGATACAAATAAAAAGGTGAAAAATGCTTAAAGGAGTGAAAAAGGATCAAATTTACAGCAAAAAGGTGAAAAATATGCAAATGACTTTTGGCGCCTAAGCGCCATATCCAGCACTTAAGCGTCAGTTAAACAGAGAAGGCCGCGCTTAAGCGTCGAGACCCCGCGCTTAAGCGCCAGTGGCAGGGGGGAGGTCGCG